ATAAGAAATTCAAAGACCCCCTCCCTCCTATAGTGCTTACGTAATACTTGAACGGCTCCCTTCTAGAATAGCGTACCAATTTTTGAAAAGCCAGTAACGCACTTGCGAGCCTTCTGGCAATATCCATGGGCGGCGGTATCACTTAACATCAGGTGAGCCTCCTGCCCGTTGCCTCCTATTACTTAAAAAAATGCCGGTTTCCTCACGATGTTTTCCTTCACCGTTCGAGCGAATGTTAGATGCGCACATAGAGATAAAGTCCATTCACGTAATTTTTGTCAATTTGTTCAACGACATATATCTGTAGATCTCATGTTTATATAACTGACATTGATAGTTATCTTTCTTCAGCCTTTTGCATTTTCGATTTAAAAAGGTAAATCTGTTTGTGCAAAGCCGGGCCTTGAACGCAAGACGTTAGCTTTGGAGCAAACGAAATCTTTGTCTAAGAAATTAAATACTTTATACTATTTCCTGGTATACGAAATGGTCCTTAATTACTGTCATTTGGCAGAAAAAACATGATATGGGATATGGCGTTGGGCGATAATAGGTGTAATTTTAAAAGCATTTGTATGGGATCATTTCAAAGTTAGCTAACTATAAGATCTTCACCGAATTTGAAAGCAAAAACCTCGTCATAGTTTTTGCGTGACGGAGTTTTGTTCCCGACAGCATTCCGCTTAAATTATATGCGGTGACCATTCTGTTGTTGAATAACAAAGGATATAATATCGAAATGTAATATATATATATATAATTATATATATTAAGAGCTCTGAAAGCACTGAAGCACTGGCGGAAGGAGGAAGTATTTTATAATACTATGTTTGCATATAATAATAATTAAAGCTCATTTATTCATTCATTTGTATTAAAGATACAAAAAAATCTGTGGGGCTACAATCTTTTTAGGTCTGGGACTCAGATTTCTGTATCTATTTCATGATCGAATAGGCAAGTTGGTGATCAGCCTCCTGTGCCTAAGGCAAGCCGGTTACCTCACGATGTTTTCCTTCACCGTTCGAGCGAATTAAAATGCGCACATAAAAAGAAAGCCCATTGGTGCACAGCCGGGGATCGAACCTACGACCTCAGGGATGAGAGTAGTACGCTGAAGCCTACACTGCTTATAAAAGTTACGCCCACTTAAAATCGTACACACACAGAAATTATATTTTTTTTTTCAAGGACTTCTTACGGAGTATATACGTAGACCTCCTCCAACTGGCTCCATCTCTCTCTATCTTGAACATCTCCCACTCCTACCCACCAACTTCTTTAAGCACGTCAGCCCACCTTGCAAGAGGGCGATATCTCTCTATTTTCCCTAGCCCTTTTCTCCTTTTATTTATCAAGGGTATTTTAGATTCGTATTACATCTATATATTAAAGAACATTGTTTTAACACATGGATGAACTAATTCTTCTCTCACTATGATTTAGTTATTTTAATAGAAAATCTAGATTAATAGAAGATTGTAAACGCTTTCAAACATAACAGGTTTATTGTAGCGGAGTTTACAACGAACAACTCGGCGTGATTACTCTATATAAGGTAAGGTTAAAGTCTAATAATTACTGCTTCTGCAGTACATGTTAGGCCTGGCATGATGGCGGTTACACCTCTGCCCATCCATCTAAAAACCTTAGCTTTGCGGATTAATACCTGCAGCTGAGTTTCATCATCGGACGTCAAGGCAGAATATGAAATTCCACCCGTATCACCTGGACGTCCGCCGTTCCACAACTGAGCGTTTTTCAAGACAGTTTTTGCCACGCACCACCACTTTGTGGAACCAGCTCCCCACTGAAGTATTTCCGAACCAATTCGACTTAGGGTGCTTCAAGAAAAGAACGTACCAATTCTTAAAAGGCCGGCAAAGCACTCGCGGGCCCTCTGGCATTGAGAGTGTCCATGGGCGTTTGCCCCCTGTTCTATAAAAAAAAATTGTAGATTGGTAGTACCTACATACAAAGGAAAAGAAAAAACCTTATTACATATAATAAAAAAGCATGTTTGGTTAAAAAGAACTGGGGCACTGATACAGCGGCTGTACGCTGTGCAGGTTTTAAACAAACTTTCAAATATAATATATATTTTAGTATTTTACTTAGTATTATCACAATATCTCATAAAATACGAAATCATATGCGCTCAAAAGTCCCGCAAATCAGGCCTGTTTTTGTCATTCAACGGCGAATTCATTTAATTGTGTCTACGACCCTCGATCTCGCCAGGCCCGCAACAATAATTGTGTCCTTCCCAACTGGCAACTTTTTGGCCACTATAGAACCGCTAATAAAGCGGCGGTATGATGATGACAACTCATCTCCAAGGTCATTACGCTTTTTGTTAGAGTCATTTCGAAGCGATGGGTTTAATAGTTTTATTGCTAAGACAGGATATATTCGCGGAGAGGCGAATATTAGTATTTTTAAAGATTTTGTTATACATAGCCGCAGACACTATATAGACGTTTCGCTTGGAAAGCGATGGAAAGTAAACAGAAATCTGGTCTATTGCGTATCAATTTCTGGTATATTGGAAGGTTATGGATGTATAGATACCACAAGGATAGGATAGTAAAAGAGAATAGCATAAAAAGGAATGTTATGGTTTAAGGAATAATTATATATACAGTCAAAATCTATTATAACATCGAAGGGACTACTCATATTTCTTCGTTAAAACCGACAGCCGATGACGTTGTTATTAAGTAGGTACCTAATACTTTTACCCGCCGGGACCTTTGGAGCTCGACTCCGACTCGAGTCGAGGAGCTCGACTCAGATACAAGGACTTCCTCCATCTAAATATATATATTATACAGCTCTGGATAGTTTGCCCCTAATCTCTGAAGTGAGATGTGGCCTATTGGAGGGCACGCCTGTCCTGTCCGCCGTTTAAGGACCTATATGGTCGCCTCCAAAAAAGTAAAATTTATAAAATTACATAATTGAATTATTTACATAACTAATTGTTATAACGTGCCGGCGCGCCTCAGTGCTCAATCTCTCCACAGCGCCCGGCAGTCCACCCCGAGACACTGACACAGCAATTCGTGCTGGGATAGGGCCTTAAATATTATACGGTCTAGGGAAGAAAGCAGAGTTCGAAATAGTAAACGCATGTTCATCATAAATTGCGTGACCGCTGTTGTATTTATAATGAGCTCGATAAAACGCTGGCGCAGTGATCGATGTTGTGTGTTATCGTTTTGGTTACATTAGCGTATTGTAATTCAGTAGGCACTTCCTGCCAACATTTGCATGGCAATCAATCGCGCGCCGCCGACCAGCCCATATCTGACGTTTTAATTAGGATTCTCTACCCTGTGTACTTGTATTGTGGTCTAAGTCAAAACATTTGGAACCTTTTAATGATAATAAGGCTTTATTTATCCAAATGTTATTTATATATAGTTATAATAAACAAATATAAATATATACAAATTTATTAGTCTAAGATGCCTTTGTATCTTCTTTTTTTAGGGCGTCCTCTTCTTCCTTTGGTCCTTTTCAAAGTAAAAATACCTGTATGAATATACGATTTGCGTATGCGCAGAGGCTATGTTTCAAATATTGTTTAAAACAGACATATCAATGTTTTCATAAAAAAATACTTCCCCCTCATTTTACATATTGACAATTGGCTCGCTCGTAATCTAACTCGAAGTAATTTGGCTCAATGGCTAGCTGCGGTGGTGCTGGCGGCGTTAAAATTATACAAGGACATGTTTTTAATTTTCTAGAGTAACGAATATTTAATTCTTATAGGATTATAAATGGTCATAATCGTTTAATAATAGTTTGTAAAAAATATAATTATTTTTAACAAATTGCTATAAAACCACCGATAATTTCTGAAAAATGAGAAAAATTCTTGCACCACAACCCACAGTCCACGCATGCGTTCTTAATTAGGCATTCCGCTCTCGTCCGGGCTGCGTACGCGCTGGCGGCGCCTTTGACTGCCATCCCGCTCTAACAATGCAACTATTCAGTCGCTCGTTCACTATACAGTGGCCCTCCTATACCTTTCAACATTAAACAACTCCCGTTCCCTTTAGGGGTCCACTTACAATGGTTATATGGGAGAAAGATATAAAATTTTCTGAAACCACTATCGACCTTATTCTGTGGGGAATAAAAACGTTTTTGACAACGTCTTTTGTATTGTAAAGGTGTTATTGAAGTGATGTAATGAAGGGGCCTAATTGTGTATTCTACTTCATATGGCATAAAGATAAAATAGCAGTCTGATGAACTGAATGATTCTTGCATAAATGGGAGGCATAATGCTATAAATATATATGATAAAAGTTATGTACGTTATACGTAAACAATAAGTTGGCCGAGTAGTGTTGGCCTAGTGGCTTCAGCGTGTGACTCGCATCTCTGAAGTCGTTCCCCGGCTATACCAATGGACTTTATGCGCATTTAACATTCGCTCGAACGGTAAAGGAAAACTTGAGGAAACCAGCTTGCCTTAGACCAAAAAAAGCCGACGGCGTGTGCACAGGAGGCTGGTACTTGCCTATTAGATTGAATATCATAAAACAGATTCAGAAATCTGAGGGCCAGACCTAAAAAGGTTGTAGCGCCACTGATTTATTTTTTATAATTTAATTTAAATATTTTGATGAATTATTATCAAATTAGTTATTCCTGATGGAATTATTTCCTGATGGTGTCGAATCGAATAAATTAACCGACGCTTTTTTGGGCAATAATGCCCTGTTTAGATTACGGGTAGTTTTTTTATCGAAACTTATGCATGTTGAGAGCTTGTGGAGCGGCTGAATTGCCCAGCCAACCGGTTTCGGTTTTCCTTTGACGAAGCCGCGTTCGAAATTTGAATCAGTCCACTTCGAACACTTGTCGAGATAGGACGCGTTTTCGATTGTTACTAACTTTTACGTGTGATAAGTGTTTTTGTGACTGAGTTGAATGAATATGAATCAAAACAACATTTTACTAAGTTTCATTTTTGTGTTATGATGGCCCGGATTTTTTGTGTTTTACTCCTATCCTGGTTGGTTGCTGCTGATCAGGAGGATGCCGATGGTGGGAAATGTGAGAGAATCAAGCTGTCACAATGCCAGGATCTGCGGTACAACTGGACAGCTATGCCTAACCTTATGGGACACAGGGATCAAAAGGAGGCAGAGGAAGCGGTAAGGATTTTTAACGTCCTATGAATACACACTGTTTATCTTGTTATCAGTGAATTGTAATTTAAAAATAAAAATATTTTTAAATAACTATAATATAATTTTTTACATCACAACTTCACTATACATCTTTCAATTACCATTATTATATTATATAAGGGAGAACAGGCTACAATAGTTCGTAAAGTAGTATTTTTATAATAAATTAGGGTTAGTGAATTTGGTTTATAGCTTTCAAGGGGTGAGAGATGAACAAAGATAAATGCATTTTATTGCTTGTAAAACTGATATCGTGTACGTTAACACGATTTAGGGCTGTCGGGACTTCCAATTCTCTCTACAATAGGTTACATAAATTCTCGCATCTTTTGTACTATAGTAGTTTTACTTATCACCCCTTGGATTAAATTCCTATTCAAACAATAAATTACGTAAAACAATGAGGTTTTGAACTAAGTTTCAGTAAAAGTTAAACAGTTACTGGACCTCAAAAGTCAATCAGTTTCCACTCTTGATCTTAACGAAGAAGTAACTCCAAAAAAATTTTAATTCGTATTTTAATACCATTAAAACATCAAAAGCTTAAAGCGGTTCAATTAAAACCTGTAACGATATAAAGATTTATCGTTTATCTCGCGGCAGATCAAAGCGTTCGTAAGAATCAAGACTGGTTTGCAGAAATGTACGTACGAATTACAAAGAACTTTGAAAGCGTTTTTAAACCGTCTAGTGACCGGCAGTGTTGGCCTAGTGGCTTCAGTGTGCGATTTATCTCTAAGGTCGAGGTTCAAAGTGCAATAATGGTCTACTTTCTATATGCGCATTTAACATTCGCGAACGGTGAATTGTGTCACGCACAGGAGGCAGATCCTCTACTTGCCTATTAGACAAATGGTGATGATACAGAAATCTGAGTCCCAGCTATGGTTATAGCGCCACTGATTTATTTTTATCTATTTAGGTTCTGCCGGCAAGAGTCTTTTAGGTACACTATTTACAAAACAGTTTATTTAAAGAGGTAGTAGAAAATCTGACTCTGAGTTCGTGTTTGATCTTTCATCAATTTTAAAAAGGTATTTTTAGCCTAGGATGTGATTGCTTGGCTCGGGGCTCCATAAATTTCAGATAGATTATTATATACTCGTATTAGTTGACTTTTTAATCTGTGTTTGCTGTAAATAACGATTTTATTTTTTATTAATTGTATTTCTTTTCAATATAATATTAAGCAATAATAAATAAAGTGGTTGTTACGCAATCCTACAATTAAAAGTAATTAAAAAACATGAATAATTGCGTACGTACCTACTTGTGGATTCTAACGGCCGAACCTAATAAGGATTATAGGAACTATTACGACGTGAAAGGGCTTAGTGTGAAGGTTTTTCTCAAAGGTCAATAGTCACTATATACACATAGGTATATATATATATATTCTATACTGATGTATATTAGAATTAACAGAGACGAGTCTTAAACTTGTATGTAACATGTTTTTACACTTAATTCTACAAATTCACATTAAAATCTTAATATGACTAAACCTTTTTATATCTGAACTTGGAAAGTACAGTAATCCCCACTATAACACCGTATATTAGTTCCGCGTTATAGGAAACGCGTTGTACGCTTCTCGCATAACGCGCTTGTTTGACCCTATATAACGCATTATGTACAAATGTTTCACATTTAATTTTTCTCGTTAAAATGGATGTAATTGTTAAGAGCGAAATATGTACGTACAAATCATTGTAAATTTCACAGTACAGTAATATAACGTGTAAAATCCACGCGTTATATGGGGGAATACTCTTGGAATCGCGTAATATAAAAATGCGTTATAAAAGTAGCGTGTTTACGTTACAATAAACTCGTTCAAGACTCAATAATACACAATTCGTCATAACCTAATCAGTGGTGACAGTTAAAAAAAACATTTATTTCCATGAATAATGTGATAGTAACTAACTTTATTTATTCATTAACACTTCGTTGAAGTAATACAGACATATAATACAATAAAAATGAGGACAACTGGCCTTATCACTTTCGAGCGATCTCTTCCAGGCAACCTGTGACAAAAAAAAGATAATAGAACAAAGCAAAGCACATACAACATATTATGTAAACAGTGAAAGGGAAAATAATAGTAATCTTTTTAATCGCACAAATTTTCCCGCGAATTTATCTATTATATTACGCGATACAAACATATTTTTTTAAAGCGTATCTGATTCTTCGGTAACGTATAGTTTAATATTTTACGCACCGTATCAGTACGATAGCGGTCTCTTTACCTAAAGATCAGCAATTTATTTTTATTTATAAGTGTTATCGTCTCGTAAGTGGCGATATTTATCGATATCGGCGGCTTCAAAGGGACGTTTTTATAAACAAGTACACGGGGCCAAGACGTTATGTTAATTTTTAGTGTCAAAGGGTTTAACCTTGCCTGAAGAGTACCACAGTACAAATTAAAATTCCTAATAAACTAAAGTGTTAAAAAAATACCATTTAAAAAAACACAGAGAGAAAAACACATTTTTTGTACAACATTACATCTGTCATAACATTATGATGTTACTTGCTCTGTGCTCAACTGAAAAGTATTGTATTGAAATTCATCAAAGCTGAGGTCAATGAACGTTTGACAATTGACACTGATTAATTTTCTCAGGTTAAAATAAAGTTGTCGAAATGCAGCTATGTCGAATTGTAATATGTTTTGCAAAAACGCTTATCTGGCATCGACACGTTTTTTCCATAATCCTATTTTTATCTCACAAACAAGAAACATCTATTGTTAAGGAAATAACAAGCCTTAAGATTTCCGGGTTGGGTCGAATTCAGTTTTAAGAACATTATCTGACCTCTATCTTGCTTTATGGGGCCGTCCCATTCACGAATCTCATCCCATGTTAGTTCATTCACCTATAAGATTTTAGAATTTTGTTTTGAGTATTTGATATAATTTAATATACAAATATGACAGAAGAACTACTTAGAAAACTTTAGAAAGAATCTATATTATGTAGCGCTAAAACCTCTTTTGGACTCTGCCACAGATTTCTGTATCAACCTTTTTAACGGTTGCCTCACGATACCATAGACATGTACTGTATCTGTAATTCTTTATACCAACTCATTTAGAAATTATTAATCAAGTTTTTAAAAATACCGGCAATCAATTATCGCCACAGACGATAATTTAAATAAAAAAATAAACAAATCGTTGCGTAATAAAACAATATACAGATAACATATATTTGATAACTTGTTTCCTGAAGCGGCTTCTTTGGCCTAAATTACTCATTTTTTGTACGAGGTGTTATTTCGGTGTAAAAGCACCCTATCATTAGCGCAGGTATGCGAGGATAATTTCACAAAGCCCGGTGTTACCATCACAAAAGAAAGTTATTAACAAATTTTGTCTATGATAATAAAAAAACCCAACCAAAGTCAAACGCCAATGGGGCATGGGGCAGCCGCGTGTGTTCCATTGAAAATTTTTAATACATTATTATTTCTCCGATCGAACTCATGGACTTAGATTTTTACACCTTGTCCGAAGACCACAAAACTACAGTGGCAGATCAGGATAACATACGTGGTCCATAGATATATCATCCAAAACCAGAGCTTTTTATTATATACCTAAACTTTGGAACTTCATTTATAAAAGAAAGTTTTCTAAGAATGATTCCGAATTTTGTATTCGTTATAAATCAAAATCTAATATCTACCATCAAGTCCAAATCGACACCGCGGGCTTCAAGGCAACGGCGGCGCCACAAAAACGGGGACGGGAACAAATTGCCCTCCCTAATTACGGCAGGTAGGAGGCCGCACAAACCTTTGAAAAAAGTGCTAAGTTTTCTTGAACCGGTTTTGTACCGTGAATTGGATTAATTATTGCCATAAAACATTTTATAGTTTGTAATTCATGGTTAATACGCTTATGCATATTGACAGTAAAATGGTGGTGGTACTAAGGTACAAATTAATGCTTAATAAATTAGACGTATATTAGGATAGGTTTCGGCCTCAGATTCTATACCTGTTTTTCATTTAGTATTTTTCAATCGAGGCAAGTGATCAGCCTCCTGTGCCTGACACACGCCGACTTTTTGTGTCTAAATCCGCCGGTTTCCTCACGATGTTTTATTTCACCGTTCGAGCGAATGTTAAATGTGCACATAGAAAGAACATCCATTGGTGCATAAACTTCTGACCTCAGGGATGGGAGTAGCACGCTGAAGCTACTAGACCCAGCACTGCTGCGTAATATCTGTATTTTTTACAAAAAGGTATAACTTTAGCAATAATCACTATAATAAATAATTGTATTAATCCCTCAAACCTTACCACCTGCCTAAGAATGATAAACGTAAAATACTTGATTAAAGCCGATAGGTTATAAATGGCGCGGCGCGATCAAAGCGAGCGCGTGCGTCGACCTCAACTTAAGGTAAAGATTTTTTTGCGCAGCCCTCAAGGATAAATCATTGTTGATTGAAATTAATTACGGATCGTGATTTTAATCCGACGGTTTAATTTGGGAACCGGAACTTCGATGATAACGTATTTATTATATAAACGTCAGGTAAAGGAAGTTGTCTTGCAAATTATTTTCTATTAAATCCGCGCGTTCCAAACCGAAACAATCGTTCAGGAATCGAAGCAAACTACCACAAGATTACTTATTAAGTACACTTAGCACTAAGTGGGCCTTCCGTATGACAAAATAGTATTGCATTTGAATCTAATATTAAATCTAATTTTGATCCGAATCTCTTACAAAATCTATAAACCATTCACATTACAAAAAGGTTTGATGCAAGTGATTTCCTCGTCATATATAGTCTGTGCCGAAAGAGTAATTCCATTTTGAATATAATCTGTGACTCCGCTAACACAAATAATTTTGCCAATGACCGTAACTTTCTAAACACCGATCGCAATATATTAAACACCAGTCATTATAAATAAATTCATCTATGCTCATTACATAAGGCTTATACGTAAGCCATAAATAATTAAGCTGCCGACACACCTGGTACTATTTATACGTATCATTTACAAAATAATCCGCTTAAAAAATGAATATTTTAGTTTAAAAACATGAGAGACCTAGCCTTGTATCTGTCGCTTCAACTGTTTAATGAATATAAAAATACAGTAAGCCCCCGTATAACACGGTACTCTTATAACGCATTTTCATATTACACGATTGAAGTCTCTCGTATAACACAGGTATTCCCGTGGGGATTTACACGTTATATTTCTGTATATTTATAATGATTTGTAACGTTCATTAACGTGAATCAATTGTACATACGTGTCATATAAGTGCGTTATAGAATTCTCCTACAACGCGTTTCCTATAACGCGGAACCAATCTACCGTGTTATAGAAGGGGTAACAGTAATTACAAACGAATTTTAAATTTTGTTAATATGTATATAATTTTGTACCTCAAAACTGTATGTTACGTTATTTTATATTATTATTACCAGAGATTACAAAGGAACAATAATAAATACTACGCCATGTGCAACCACAACTTTTCTCGGTGGGAGGCATCGGAATGCAGCCCAATTAAAAAGATACAGCTCGATGCATCCCAATCCGACACGCTTCGATCTCGACAATAATCCATAGAACGTTATTTCCATAGACATTATGTCCATAGACATTCTATCTTTACTCTGTCCTTTGCAATGAGATCCGTTACAAATCTATTCAGGGAATTTCTTTTGAAATAGAAGCGAAACTAATAAAATCCCATTTGACAGTTTTGA